TATGAAAGATTTCACAGGAATGCTCTACTTTGGGAGAGCAGGAAACATTGTAATGCCTTCCTTTGGCTCAGCAAATTAGTCGTTGGAATAGCCTTTGTCTTGGTTATTGCCTGTTATTTTTCTTGATATTTGCTGAGACAATGATTTCCTCTGACAAAAAAGAGAATCATGGTGGCTTTACATATTTTGACACTTTTGATGACTTTTTGTGGCTAAATGAATATCCCAAAGTAGATTTTTGGCACTAATAAACTCCTGATCTAGACATCTACTGTGGGAATATCAAGTTCATCAGATATAATAAGCTATTCTTCATAATTGTTAAAAAAAGACATTTTTTAAAAATATAGCTAGAAGTGTAAGATCTTTTCTGCAACCATTTATTTCTACATAGCACTCACTACCTTAGGTGCAAGCTTCATTACAAGTGGCACACTTAATTCCTTTCCTTACATTAATAATAAGACCAAAGAAAGCGATGTGCTTTTGAAAGCAGTGTTTTAGCATCCTGATTAAGCAGGCAAAGTCTGTGCTAACTGAAAGGTGTAGGTAGTCCCAACTCACCAGCAGCTCCGCAGGAGAAAAAGACTTGAAGATCTACTCCTTAAAACAACATCCTAGGAACCCAGGGGTGCAGTTCTATCATGCCAAGTGGGGTCACTATGAATTGGGATCCACTGGACGGCTCCTAACAGCAGCACTGAGATAGATGCAATCCTTACAACACAACCTTAACTGAGTCCAACTCCTTCAGGCGGTCATGCAATTGAAAAGAGCTAGTAGCTAAATAATATCCTGTTTTGAGGCTTGATACATTTATTTGCCAACTTTATTTTAACTTTTGTGCATGTGTACGCATGTATGTGTTGGTGTGGTTAAATGTCGATGACCAGAATTTAAAGAAGAAAATTGTAAGAGTATAAAGTAATTTATTTGAAAAAAGAAAATTCATTTTGCCGTCTTATATTAGCTTCAGCTAAGAAAAGTAAGTCCCTTATATTAGTAGTATTAGAAATATTTGAAAAGGCCCTTCTGGTGTGAAGAATACTTTGCTAAATTTGTAAAATTATAAAAAAATTAATAGCCAGATTTAAGAAAAAAATCTACCTTGTAAAAATTCCATTTTCAATTATGAGATAACTTACTCTGGCCATCCTTATTTTATTTGGGCTTAAAAGTTCCCAAACTTATTTGGCCTACTGCTCCCTTGAAATAAAAATTACTTGGTGTCTCCCCGGCAATGAAAAACGTTGGTACTATATAGCCTATAGTCTAGGGTAAAAGATGTCTGCTTTTGCAGCCCCCCTGGATCATTGCAGCGACCCTCCAGGGGCCAATATTGCCACTTTGGGGAAGCACTGAACTATAGCAATATATTTCATCAATTCTGTCATCACTTAGGGGGTAGAATTTTTCTCTTTAGTGAGATTCTGCTATACTCCCTGAGTGTGAAGCAGTTTGCAAGGCTAGGAAAGATATTGTAAGTCTCCTTTAGTAACTGCTGGCTTAAATCTAATGAGCTTTGAAAAATTTACATCATAGCTTCTCAATCAGTGTATGTGGGCACATTGAATTTTTATTTTAAACTTGAACTTCAGGTGCTATCTTTTAAAAAAAATCTCCTGAGGGCCTCGCTCAATTAAATTTTGTTTGAAATCTAATTTAGTTTTATTTTTGTTTTACTTTGCCTTCTTGTGTTGTGTACTATTGACTTAGAGTGACCTTTAAGAGAGAGTAGATTTGACCCGTAGGGTTTGGTAGGAGATATTTATTTTCTTTTTTTTCGATTTATGTGAAAGTTTACAAAGCAAATTTATTTTCCATCCAACAGCTCATACTTGGTAAACAGCACTCATCCACTTCCTCCTTGTTTTTCTTATTGCTATCCATCCTTCTTTCCTAGCTCTTCTTTCTGAGCTTTATCCTGGCCAAATGCTGCCCTTCTTCACCCCGAATCGTTGGGTGCTGTTTGTAGGGTATACCTCCCTTGTGTCATGTCCTCCATAACATTTAGCCATGAGAGTGAGTTCAGTTCAGGTTGAAGGATAACAACGAAGGGTCTTAGCATTGGGAGATCCTCCTGACTCTCTATGATCAATAAAACTGGTCTTTTATATGACTGTGAATTTTGTTCCGCATTTTTCTACCATTCTACCTATAACCACCTGTGATCCCTTTCAGAGTGGTTGGTAGTAGTAGCCGGGCACCATCTAATTCTTTTGGTATTCGACTCATGGAGATTTATTAGAGTCATGGATGGTTGTGTGGCTCTTGGTCCCCTGAATAAGTTGTCTTAATTTGCCTTTGATTTTCTTCACTCTTCCCTGGACAAGGAAAGACCAATAGTTAGTTGCACCTTTTCTGTTGATTCCTTTTATGGCTAGCTTGGAAATTACTGCTGAATCACAAAATAAATGCATATCTTTAAAATTATTTAAATAATGTAAAAGATGTGATTTAAATAAATTCATATTTTTATATTAGGTAATATAGTATTCATGGAGTATTTGCATATATATACTTTAGTAGTAGCATATACAATAATGCTTTGTTGAACGGCTTCAAGTTCAAACTTTCAACCACAGAAACAGCATAATTCAAAAAAATCTACTTGGTGTTCATAAGTTTGCATGATAGTCGAGTCATTATGAGCCCCGAGTGAATTACACCTTGAGTTTTCTCTAGCTGCGGGCCCAGAGGGTGACACTTCAGTTCTAGCGTGGCTCTCACTCTGACAACATACAGTGCTTGATTAGTGCATTAAAACATTGATCACTGTGCTTTTTTTTTTTTTTTTTGCACTTTATTTATACAAATCATAACCATGGCTCCGAAGAAAGTGCTAACAGCAGTAAAGCTGAGCGGAAAACCTGTGAGAACGATGATAAGAGTTAAAGAAAGAGATCATTGCAACATAGGTCACTGCTTGTCTGATTTGGTGGCTAAGTCAACATTAGCAACATTTTGGAAACAAAAAAATGTGATTAAAGTAGCTAATATGGTGATAGGTTATGAGACCAGGTATCCGAGACAGTGATTTGTGAGGCTAGAAACCTCCATGGTAAATTTAAGTTCCTGAAAAAGTGAATTTATAAGTGTAATTCAAAAAAAATAAATAA